TCATTGAATGATAGAGGTGGAAGAAGCAAAAAAAAAAAAAAAAAAAAAAAAAAAAACAAAAAAAAAAACACAACTAAGCCCAAAGTGAAAAGGACCAGGGTCAAAAATCTTGTTAGTTACATAGAGGGTTAAATTTACCATATGAAAAGCTCTGATTAGTTTTTCGATGCCCTTAAGATTTTCATATCATATTTTTAAATTTTTTTAACCTAAACCTAATCCTCTTTCGTAATCAGAGTTTACGCCGTGTGCTTACCAAAAGGAATTTTTGACTTGCTAGTTGCATTTTCTTATCAATAAGATCTAAATTAAAATCCGAGATTCCGAATAAGTCCTTTAATAAAACAATTTCGGGGATATAATTATATAAATAAAGGATAAACCAAAATAACGCAAATGGATGATCTAATGTAAAAATAAATCCTCTAAAATGAATTACGTTAATAACAATAGGTCCGAGCATCGCATCAAACGCAATGATTTGATTGATGGATGGATTGATTGACGTGAGTCATCATAATCAAAAAAATTTGTCTCGTTCAAAAATTCTGAAACCCTTTCCCTTTGATGATGTCATCTAGTCCCATGACTGGGATAAATAAATAATTTACAAATTTGTCTATTAGTATGTACGCTAGGTATTTTCTGTCATGACATTAGGCTGAGACCCTTTCATTGCATTGTTGTTTACCTTGTATTTTCCTTAAAAAAAAATATTAATAGTGCTTTTTGCCACCAATTAGCTAATTTGGAGAATAAATAACAAATAAAAAACCGTAACGCAAACTAGTATGCAAACGTGTCGAAATTGTCATGTGGCGAAAAAATATGTAACTGTAAATAGACATAATATGAGTCTCTTTTTTTTTTTTGTTTACTAAATGAAAAAAAAAAAAGAAATATCACAGAGAATTTTCAAATGAAAAAAAAAGTAAATAATAAAAAATCTTTTATTTGGGATAAAATGAAACTTCTAAAAAAAAAAAATAATTCAAGGTTGTTCCAATTTGATTCGTTAGGTCGATTCGTGAAAATGTACTAAAAAAAAAAAATGATCTTTTGGAATCAACCGGGTGCGTACGGGAAAAAGTATTAGAAATCTGGCACGACACTGTTCACGGGACATTATTTACGGTACCTGTTCACGGGACCTTTCACAAACGAACAGATTTCTCCAAAGCGACCCGGGAAAATTTGATATGTCTGGACCTTTTTTATTAGCCTCAAATATTGAGCAGTATGAACGGGATGAACGGAGTGGCCAATTTTTCATTCCATTCTTTTTTTTTTTTTTTTCATTTTAAAAAAAAGATAAATAAATAAAATAACAATTCTAGTTGTGACCGGTTTAAAATTTCACAAAAAGAAATCTGTTTATTAAAAAAACATTATAAATCATATTTAGATAATAAATTAGATTCTTATTTTGCAATTGAATCAGCGAGTTTCCATCTGCACGTCGAATTTTCTTGTCGCATCAAACTATATTTTGTGTACATGAAAAAAATCTTTTTTTTTTTTTTTTTTTTTGTACCTTTATTTATGTAAATAAAAACTAAATTATATAACGTAAATCACGTGATTCACGAGGGAATTCCCGATTCTTTGATATCCGACCGGCATTATGTTCATAACCTTTGATCGGAAGGTAAGATTACGTTTGACGATAAATAAACGAGCGATGATTCCATCTGCCTTTAAAATTTTGAAGCCGATACGTTTAATAGCCAGGTCGATCGAGTAAAATTTTTTTAACAAGGATGATTTTAGAGAAAATTACCTATTTCAGAAAGCATCTGCATTGTTGACCGGCATTAGATAATTTCTGAGACAATTTTCGCTTATTTGCTGTTGAAATTTACAAAATTGAAATTTACTAAGAATATTTTTTTGTTTTTCTGTCGGTTAGATCGATTTAAAAGTTGATTAAAAAAATAATTAAATAATAAAATTTTTAATATAGATAATGCCAATATGATCAATTTCATGTCAATTTGATTCGAAAATGATTGAAAACGCAATGCTCCCATTAAGGGAGCGGAAAAAAACATTTCTTTGGAAATTTAATTAAAAAGAATCGATCACACTACAAACGATGTGAAAATAAATTCCTCTATTGTCAATATTAGAAAGTATTTTGCTTCGCGTAACATGTTATATTTTGTAATACGATCAAAACGTACACAACATTCAAGTTTTCACACCGCATGAAAAACCATTTTATTCAATTTTTCGTCGACGACAATTCGAAAAGTGGGTGTGTTTTATATCACGTGAAATAACGATCGTATCAAAAAAAGGGACTTGATTAACAAAACTATATCTGGACCTATAGTAATATTTACTATTAAAGATTTTTTTGTAATTCTTTATAATAATCATCTCACTAAATCGATACATTTTTATACTTAATAACTTAGATGCCTCCTAATAACTTCGCTCCAAATTTACAAAAACATTCTAAATTATTGTCTCTTTCATGTAACAGCTCGTTTTTCCAAAAAAAATTTTTACGCTTCAAGTAATAATAAATAAATATTTTAGTACACAGCTCTCGAAATAAATTGTTTTTCAAGAAAGCGAGGTGTCACATTATCTTTTAGGTTAAAACGTATTCATTTACCGTTTTAATTTGATTGAATGCTAAATTAAAACCAAAGTTATTAAGCTTTAAAGGTTTAGGATCTTTTACAAGAAAATCGCAAATAATTAGGTTCGACACGTATGCTTCACAAAAAGTCTTCAATAGTAATTTTTACTATGAGTCTAGATATGGTTTGCATTTAATTAGTTGACACCAAACCCGCTATTTGAATTTACCCAATGAAGAATTTCACACACAAAATAAATTCGTGTTTAAAATCGTGTACATTTCATGCATGATGTCACAAATTAGCAATATCACACAAAATTCACATCATCATGACCAAGTATTTATATAATAGTTCACGATTTTTGGTTGAAAATATTATTACTTAACACTTAATTTTTTTAAAATCAAATTATAAAAAAAAAAAAAAAAATATTTTTTTTGATCCAGGTTATAGAATTTGTTCAGTTATGAGCAATCAATGGAAAAACTATGGCTCTACATTGCTAGGTATTAGTTACAATAAAATATATACAATAAAATTAACAATTAATTATTAATACTTGCTCATTTTTTATTTTTTTAAAAAAACAATAGCGACAAGCGATGACAGTAGTGATGTTTGTGACAATATGATTGTAGAACACATCAATCATAAAGGATCAAATTGGACTGCTTATGTCAATATTTTGTAAGTTAATAAATCTGCATTTTCATAAAAAGATCGATAATAAATAGTAAATATTTTTTCCACTTTGGATTTGGTTTATAGATGTATCGTTGCGGGATCAGGAACTCTTGGTATTCCATATGCGATACGACAAGGTGGATGGATATCCATCCTATTATTAATTCTTTCGGCGATCATGAATGTGTATGCAAATACCAAACTAATCGAATGTTTATATCACAATAATGTATCGCGTCGCACATCCATAACCGAAGTAGCATATGATGCATTCGGAAACGCTGGATCGGGATTTGTGAACTTTTTTTTTAATGCAACATGTATCGGAGCTCCAATAGTTTATTTAATATTATCAGGAGAAAATTTCAAAAAATTATTCGAGGATAATTTTGGCATCGATTTGGGAATAGGAACTTGGATTTTTATTTGCGGAGGCATGATGTGTGTTCCTTACGTGATGCTAAAAAACATGAAAGAAGCTTCGTGGTTAAGGTGATTATCACATTCAATGTTTCCAATGTTATTAAACTTCGATTTTAAGGAAAATATTCACACATTCTACGTTTCAATAAGTATTTTTGGAGCATTAACTACAGGCTTGGTTGTGGTTGTGGTGTTTATTGCTTCGCTTATGGAATTACCAAATAATCGAGATAAGGAACATCAAATAATAAATCTTAGACATATGCCGATAGCTTTAGCAACAGCATTTTTTAGCTATGGTGGAAATGTCGTATATCCTCACGTCGAAGCAAGGTAGATCCATTTGATTTTATCGTGTTCTCACCTCATAAATATGGATTCTCGTGTTAATTCCACGTTTTTTCCACGTTAAATTAGCATGGAGCATCCAAAAGCGTGGCCAAAAGTACTTGGTCTCGCTACCTTCACGATCACTTTTTTTTATCTTTTGATTGGAATTTCAGCATATGCAACGTATGGAGATGATACATTATCACCGATTTATAAGAATCTTCCGGCTGGTTTAGCGGTTACGATCAGCGTAATAATGATATCAATTCACGTCTTAATGGCATTGCCAATTTATTTGACGGCATTTGCGATTGAGGTGGAAGATTATCTTTCAATCAATGTCGCTACGCTTGGTAAAAATCGGGAATTCACTTATCGAGCTGCTATTAGAATCTTAACTTTGTCTTTTGCTATCTCTATAGCTAACGTTGTTCCCTATTTTGCCGATATCATGGCTTTAATTGGCGCAATTAGTCAAGGTGTATTATTGATCTTTATGCCTATCGCAATTTGGATTAAATTATTCGGGTGGGACTCCATTAATAGTTGGAAGGAAAAACTTTGGGTGATTTTTCTCTTGATGTTTTCGGTAATTGTTACCTTCACTGGAACCATCCTTGCCATTTACGATTTATATACGGATATCACGGATCATAAAAAAATGAATCACAAGGCGTGAATGATTGTTACACAGAATTTATTAATGTTTTAATTTATACTTTTATGCAATAATGAAATATATAAAAGTTAAGAACGGATGATCAATGAAAAAATACCTCTCACTCTCGTTTTTATTTTTATTTTTTTTTTTTTAAAAAAAAAAAAGAAAAAAAAGAAAACATGATATGTTCCAAATTATTCTCTGGAGATTTACCAGAGATAACAAATCACATTCTACGGTATGCACGAAATGATTTTAAAACGCTACATTCATGTATTTTGGTAAACCGATTTTTTTGTCGTCTTACGATGCCATTGCTTTGGGAAGATCCATTCTCAATCCCCATAAGTAATAAATCATGTGTTCACTTTCTTGACGTTTATTTCTCATATTTGAGCGAGACCGACAAAAACTTATTAAAAGAATATGGAATTGAGAGAATAAATTCGTTGAAATTAAAACCACCACCTTTGTTTAATTATCCGAGTTTTATCAAGATTCTAAATACTTCCCTAATGGAATTGCACATCATGGTTTGGATCGATAATTTTACAAAGCTATATAAAGAGAGTGATGAGTTATTTGATGATGAAATTCAGGTTTCCGAATATATCAGCAGATGTAAGATCAAGTACCCATTGACTGAATACAAGGAAATAAATGCCTCGAAAACGGATACACTTCGACAAATCCTCTTAAACAGGGCAAGGTTTATTCCGAATTTATCACAGAAAATAAAATACATGTATTTTTTAATATTTAAAACACTTATTGAGAATGATTCTTCTTTATGTGAATTACATCTAAAGAATCATTTCAGTTCCTCAAATCCATTCGCAAATTATATTTATGAATTGATCTTAAATAGGCCAAAATTCATTTCAGAAATTAAGGATTTTCTCATATTGGAATCGGGATCAAGTGGTGTATGTTCAGAAGCTAAGGACTTTCTCGTATTGGAATCGGGTTCGAAAAGTAAATGTTCTAGCGTATTTCTTCAACAATGTATGTCCCTTCAAAATTTTTTATCTTCATTGTCATTAATTTGTCATTCTATTAAACACTTGAGCCTCATTTTTTCACATGATATTTATTCAAAATTTGTATTGGAGATAAATAATTTGTTTAAATCTCAAAACACACTATCAAAGGTTTCCTTTGATACCTTTATTGATTGTCGAACCTCCTCCATAACTGAATCTTTAAGATATTGTTCAAACACCTTGACAACAATTAGCTTTTTCTTCATCACCTTTAAAAATGACATGTTATTTAATGAGCTCGAACATTTAATACATATTAGTTGTTTGGAATTTCAATGTTGTGAAAAACCTGAATTATTCATCCAATCCTTATTAACCGTCCCTATACCATTGAAAATCAAAACCTTATTGCTCGATCATAATGAAATTCAATCCATCACTCCTATACAATTATTTCTTCAAAAGATTTCTTCCTGTTTGGATAATTTGGCAATAATCTATCAACCTTATTTCATGAAAGAATACCTGGAATCTATCATCCTTTACTGTGAAAGGATTGAATTCTTTCATTTGGGCGCGATTGATTATAATAATTTACCACAATTATTTCAAATAATTGCTTCATGTGGTCAACTGAAATACCTCACCCTTGAAATCAAGTATCATGAATTTAATCAAAAGGAAATAAGATCAACCAGTTTTGACATTAGATACGTTGACCAAATTGATGATTTAAAAGTGAGTTCAATGATACTAAGGGAGTTGGGTCAATTATTACCTAGTAACTTGAAATATTTGGACTTGAGTTTCGTATTTGACCCAAAGGATTTGAAGATTTTCTTTGATAATTGCAAGCATGTCAACCTACGTCAGTTATTAATTAGGAACAATAGTAAAAATACTTTAAATTCGACTTTGAGCGTTATAAAGGAGTTTATTAGGGAGAAAAGGTTAGATTATTTGGCTTATGCGATTTGCTTGTATTATTCAAATTCACTTAATAGTTTGGAAGAGTTGGTTAAAGAGACTGGAAATTTGGTAACCATGAAAAATTACGATGATCTGGTTCTAAAGGCTTCAGACATTGACGGGATTTATCGTAATTGAATCATCATTTTATTTTATTTTATTTTATTTCATCTTTTTCACATATTATAATTGGAAATAAAGAAGCAATTTTCAAATCAGTCAATTCAAAATATCACATCGAACGGATACTTCAATTTATTGAGTATATATAAATCATAAAGGTCTTGGTTGTGTAACGATGCAGTACATAAATATGAAATAATAATCTAAAACGGAATAAATTATAAAATGTCATGATAAAATTGCGCGTAATTTAAGGGCGATTAAGGCTTCTTTGGAGGAACTTCGTTGGGGAATTTACCACCATCAGGAGATTTTCCGTCGGGAAATTTACCGTCGTCACTTTTCGGAAATTTAGGTAACTTTCCGTCATCAGTGAACTTGCCATCACCATCTTCACCATTTTTGGGGAATTTAGGAAATTTTCCATCGGGAGATTTACCGTCTTCACCACCTTTTGGAAATTTGGGAGATTTTCCATCAGGAGATTTACCGTCTTCAACACCTTTTGGAAATTTGGGATATTTGCCATCAGGAGATTTACCATCTTTTGGAAATTCGGGGAATTTGCCATCCTCACCATCTTTTGGGTCCTTTGGTCCTTTAGGAGAATCAACCGATTTTGGATCTGAGAATTCAGGAATTTTCGGAGGGCAACCTTCATCCTTTTTGTCTAATAAATTTTTTAATTTTCTTTTTTTTTTGATAATATTTTTACATTTTCCGTAAATATTACAATAAATTCAAATATGCTTACCGCAATGATGCTTGTCATCTTCCGTTCCTCTTTTATGAATAACATGGGTTTCAATTGGTGCTGCGATAGAAACAGTAACGCATACAACTAAGGTTACAACCACAAATAAAGTAAAAGTAAACTTCATTTTTAAAAAATTTTCTGATGAAATAAGCGGTGATCTAAAGGTTTTGACACGATTTTAATTATTCTTTGAATTATTTGAGAGAAATGATTTGGATGTGATTTGATGGAAGGAAGCAACGCGATGTTTATATAAGAAATTGTCAGTTATGTTTTAGGTGAGGAAATACAAAGGAGTAATAATATTTGTATATACCAATTAATCTTGGCATATTAAATATCAAAATCTATTAGGTATAGCTTATTTGAAATTTGATCAATCGTACGATAACGCTTGTTCGCTTTCATATTCTCCTCAATGGCGCAAATCTTCCATTTAACCTTGGCACATTTAGCAATAACGGGGGTTTTTTTAATCCAATTATTTAGTTTATTCCGGAGATTTCAACGAATCGATCGTCTAATGTCGCGCGCATAAATTATCCTCGCGTCACGTAGCGCGAAATATTGTAAGTGCGTATACAACCAAAATTTATTTTCCACGAAAGTTTATTATATCAATGGTTTATCTTTTTCCTGTCTTGGCATGAAAAATCTATTATAATCTATAAATCTTTTTGAATAATGTCGATTCGTTAAATTAACTTTTGTTTACCCCCTTCATCTCGATAGACATTCACAAATTTCCAAAATCATCAAAAATCATCATAAGATGATTTATCCGAAATGAAATGATCATCCATGCTCAATAATGTAAGGCGGATTAAATTGTTAGGCGGTAAAGCATTTTCGAGTTCGAATCAAAATCTTTATATTTTTGTCAAGGTTTTAACTATAAACAGTATCGGCGAGCAAAGAAAAGTTTTGTACGATCGTGATCAAGATTTTTTTTTTTTTTTTTTTTAACTTGGCCAAGGGCCAAGTAAAGTGAGGTGACAAACATTGTTGAAGGGTTTAGGAATTTTAACCGTTAACTAATTTTGAACATTCCCGAATACAAATCTACTTGACGCATTTTATATCAAGTATAAGGAAAAGTAATTTTAAATAAAAACATCTCTATCAGTAGCTCACATTCCTAAACAAAAATCCCTTTTTAACACAACTACCTTTTTACAATCTGACTAGACTACTAAACAGAATCCAAGAGACGTAGCAATTTAATGGGGGTGATAGTTCATTTTCGTTAAAATTATTTCAGTGCAAATTACTTTACTTTCTTAACTAATTTGACAAAAGTAAAACGTGATTGGTTGATTTATAACATTAAAACTTCCATGATTTCCATTTTATATAATTCTATGTATTTGATATAACAACATGTAATGCTTTTTTTTACTGCATATTTTTATAAGTGAATAAAAATATTGAAAACAAGTAAATTCAACCTTCATTATTATGTAATTGTGAAAGGAGGAACGGCTAAGTAAAAAATGAATGGTGATTGTTACAAACATATTGATACCTAAAGCTTTCATTAATTTTTATTGTTTATCCATACTCCAATCTCAATAAAAATATTTCGACTTTTGTGATTCAATTCATCACGTCATACCTGGATTTTATATGGATGGTTACCAAAGATAATAATTATATATATAAAAATGTCAAATTTTTAGAAGGTTCATATTAAATAAGTAATCAATCAACCTCAGGAAAGGTATTCTAGATCAATCTATGTCGATGATTTTTAATAAAATTCTCAATCATTACGGTATTTGTGGCAAGACATAATGGAATACGTTCGGCCGCCTACTGCAGAAGAAGACGAGAAACTGCCCAAGCCTAAGAAGATCAAGAGTTCCAAGACTCCAATAGGCAAAACACAACGTATCTGTCTCTTTCCTACACAAGAAGAGCAGTTAAAACTTAGACAATGGATTGGGACAGCACGCTGGACATACAATCGATGCATTTCCGCGGTCGAAAAAGAAGGT